GGCTTGGCTCTGCTGGAGCAGTTCAGGTACACCCAGCTATCTGCTGATGGACTGATGGATGCTGAGGTGTTTTTGGGAGCATCTGAGGAAAATGTGACACACCTTCAGTTTATTGATGAGAAGCAGCTGAACCATGATGTTCTGACAGGATGACTTACAGGAAACACTGAGAGTCACTTCTGTCTTTGCTGTCTTGCTGTGTTTTCCTCCATCCACAGGATATCTGACAGAACAGATGATGTTGTATCCATCATGTGTGTCTGACAGAGTGATGATCTGCTGGATTTTAGTTCTAAACGTTCCATCTGTGTTCTCCTCTATCTGTCTGGGAGAGTCTGGTTGGAGATTCCAGGTGAGTTCAGGAGGTGATTGTGGACAGGGAGTGAGAGCTGAGCACGTTATGGTGACAGAGTCCTTCTCCTTCACATCACCTGAGATTTCAACCCTGGGGCTCCAAGCTGAATCTGTGCTTTCACATCATACACACATTTTACACAGTGAGATCCAGAAAATCTCTACTTTAAACACATGTGGAGCAGAAATGCTTCTGAATTCATTTTCTCTCCTCAGCATTAACATTAGAGATAAATAAAAACAAAAGGCTCTCACCTCTAACTGTTATATTAATAGGATGACAGGAAGCTGTTGCTTTGAACCACCCGTTCTCAATCCTGAAGAAGTATTTATCTGTTTGACTTGAGTTTACATTAAAAAACACAGTGGTGCAGTTCCTCTTACTCAGGTTTCCAGTAATGTTCATGTTATAGCTGTTCCTTGGCTTACTGCTTTTGTAGATCACGTTAAATTGATTAACTTTAAACACAGGAGTACTTTTTATCCAAACTCCAAATGTTTCCTTCTTGACATCAAAACCTTCTCCTTGTTTCTCTCTAAAGCTACATGGGATTAGCAAACAGGATCCACTCAGAACTTCCATCTCCTCTGGTGCAGTAATGTTGAGGTCTGATTTACAAGTCTGAACTCCTATAAACACAGAATAGAGATGAACACACTGTGGATCAAAATGGTCGTAAAGATAAACTTCCTGATCAATAATCTCCACCTGAGCTACAGCTTGTTACACAAAGAGCCTTTAAACAAGATCAGGATCCAATATTTCAGACTAGAAATGGTTCCAGTAATGTCTAAAAATAAAAATGAGAAAGCAAACAGCTCACCTGAGAAGAAGAAGACATTCAGTAACATGCTGACGGTCAACATGTTCTCAGACAGGGCTGCCATCACACTCCTACAGAGACGAGCTGTAACTTATCTCATAAACTTCTATTTTAAATCTATCAAGAAGAGTGAAATATAAATTTAACACAAAGAAAGTCCTTGCATTAAAAAAATCGCTCAAAATTAGTAGAACAAAAACTGTTTCTTAGTGAATGATTCAATAGGAATCTATTTTAGAGTCTTTGACACTTTTGACCTTCTGATCCTCGGCAGACCAAACTCTGAACTACCAGTTAGTTTTCACAAGAATCAACACCACTTTAGAGCAGAAGACAGCTCCACCCTTTATGTTTAGTTTCTTTAAAATAGGAAGTACTTGTCATGATCAGCAGATGTTAGATTTTTAGTTTCTAAAGTGTTTAAGTTTTAATTATTTTTGTCTTTATGTTCTAAAATGTCTCGTGTATTTTCCTTAATTTTGGTTTATTTCCTTTTCTAATTTAAAATTTTCAATCGAGATTTAATTTAAAAATAACAAGGTTGCTGAGATCTACTTCTGTTCTTTGCATCAAAAGCATTTTTCAGTGTAAGAATCTGTTTCAGCATCAGCTCTGTCTACGTGAGAGTTTGAATCTAATTTTGACATATTGTCTTCCACATTAGTATGTGCATTCATAGAAAAACCCATGTAGCTGGTCTTAGGCTCAGTGGATGAATGCTTAGTATACTGATCTTCAAACTCACATATACTTCACTGTCGAGCTGTCTGATCTCTTAAACTTGACTTTGTAGCTCTGCCTGCATGTGAAAACCAGTCTGATTTTATTATGTTTCAGTTTTATTTAATGGATGAGAAAAACACAGCGATGCATGTCAGTATTACAGCTGAAAAATACAGAGTTGTTCTGATAAAAATATAAGAATAGCAGGCTGAAAATATTAGCAAGTCAAACTGCCCATCCCCCAAGCAGCACAAGATGCTGAAGAAAATGACTTCCTCTTTTTAACAAGCTCAGTATATAGGGTGAAGTTTTCTTGGATAAAACATTTTACATTTTTGTCAAGGTTAAGTTTTAACCAGAACAGATAAGGGTTTCAGTTTGCTGACGATCAGATGAAGTCTTTACAGTAAGAAGTGAGCACCTTTTACTTTTTTAATTATTTCTTTGTTTTTTTTTTTAACACAAGGGAACGTTGAATTAGAATTAAAAATACAGAGAGGTCTCACCAGCTGGAAAGATAAACACTAAATTTAGACAAGGAAATAGACAAAAATTAATTAACCGATAAAACAAGACATTTTAAAA